GTCTCAGTAAAAAAAAAAAAGTTTACCCCATAATGATGATAAATATCATTTACTATTGGGTAATCTTTTTTTTACAGAAACAAGTGCCTGTAATGCATACCACCGGGATTGCGGTCTAGCTGAAATATTTGTGATGACATAATTTACCTGAAAGAGAGTTGATAAAAAAGTTACCTGGGCAGGTAAAATATTTGTTTGTGAGTTTATCCTCCATTAATTGTAGACATCTCCAGTTATTATCAGTTAGGACGGTGGACTTAATGACTGGAACAGTATGTGTGTGGTTAACTGTCTCACCCTGTCTATTATTAACCCCCAAAACCAGGAAACAGGGCCTCAAGTTTATAGGGGGATTATTAGTCTGGTTTTTGATGGGGATCTAACATTTTAAGGGGGTTTATTCAAGGTGGAGATTATCATTGCTAATCTTAATGGCAAACAAGCCAGTTAGGACATCAATTTATCAAATTCTTCTAGTGTAAGAAAACTAAAATACAATTTTTGATGAGTAACTTTACTGAAAATTACAGATGAACAGATTGGTTTTTTTTCTAACTTTATGGCTTTAAGAGAAAAAAATGCTCCTTTGTTGAACAATAAACCATTTACTGTGAGTACTGAATGATCTTAAAAGGGTTTTTGTAGTGTTATAATGTACGTATAACCAGGACATTTCTATTTGCCATAGGGCAAAGTCAAATTTATCCTTAATGGAAAAAAAAAAATCAGTCGATTTATTCAACACCTACAACATTCAGATATATATATGTACATATGAGTTAAGACACACCCAACTTTTACTTTAAAGTTTATCAAATTTTCAAATATCAAGGGTGGGAAGAGGGGATCAAGCCACTTACATATAATTAATATAACTTAATTAAGGATTCTCAATATCAAACTATTTGCATCATAAGGGAGAAAAATTATATATGAAGTTATTGAACCTTACAGAATAAAAGGAAATGAAATTTTTTATTTAAAAAAGAGCTTTGCTTCAAAGTCTCTATTAATCTTGTCAAATTTTTCCAAGCTTATTTATTAAATAAACTTAAATTGATAAACGTTGAAGGAATCTTATGATATTCTTTGATGAATCAATGTAACCCATTAATTAGGAATGAAAAAGAAGCTCATGACAGCTGCAAAGAATTACCAGATAAATCAAATTACAGAAAGAAAAGAAAATTCTGTAATATATCAGTTTGTTGTATTTTTCCTACCTATACATCTTCCACTTTGTAATCACTAATGTTTTCGTTAGCAGTTAACATGAAAAATTAATTACACACATACTGAACCAGTTGACTGTTAAAAATAAAACAAGGAAAACGTACGGGTAGAAAAGGAAGAATTCTGCTTTCTATTTATTATTTATCAACAGGAAACCAAACACACTATTAAATTTAAAAATAAACTCTATTAAAAAATCAGTAATGTGACTAAATATTAATGAATTTAAAAAAACAAATGCAGGAGAATAGAAAATATTTAAAAGTTTACATTGTACCCTTGATAAGGGTTTAAATATAGAAATACTTTCTAAGAAACAAAACCAGGATCTAAAGGCCCATCCTGCAAGTTTCACGTTTTATATAGGTATTTACTTTTTTTTTTAAATAATAAGTTCACTTTTAAAGACTCAAACAAACCTCTACGAGGAACAATTCTTAAAAAAATATTTGAAACAAAACTTAACATCAATGTAAACAAAAGGCAAATAATTGTAAACAACTTGAAAAATTGACCTACATGCCTGGTCAAACCAAGGCAACTGGGGCCATAAATTAACACTACAGCACGTGTGCTAATTAACTCACCTGGACGAGAATAATCATGAGATTGTCACACACATCACATTATTTCCCTGATTCAGGTAGACATAAATACGAGAAACACCTGACGTCGGAGAGCAGCGAATAACCGACCGAGTTGTTGTTCAATAATAAGGAAGTAAAATAGGTGAGTGCTTCGAAGGTTATCGTTCTTGACTATCACACATTTCAAATAGAGTTGTCTTTCTTTATTCAGCGATGTGGGGATGAAAACGGGCAAAAGAAATACGCACGCTAACTTTCCATTCTCCCCTACATTTTGGAACCATTTAATTCAAAATGAATAGCAATTTGGCCATAAAATCTTTGTTTAATACAAAGAACAGTTCAATGGTAATTGATGAATTGTCTTAACACCAGCGCAGCCGCTAAACAGTAAATTATCCATAATTCCAGCGCTTGGAAAAAAAAGGGGGGGGGGGTAGACGATATTTTCCATTGAAATAAGAGTTTCAGGCATCACCATATTTTGAAATAGTCTTGGATATGATTAAATATTCCTTATATCTTTTCTTTTGTCTTAGGCAAATAAATAAAACATGAAGATATCAATAAAATATAATGTTTCAGTTGTAAATCGCTTTGAAGTTGGTGGAAAATAAACTTTTTTATCGTTTTTTGTCAATAAACATATGTTCCCCCCGTGTCACACAAAAAACTTTGGCATGAATTTGTGAAATAACATTCCATATTACCTGTAAAAAGGAATTTTTGTGACACGGGGGGGGGAGATGTTTTAAACAGGCGCGGATCCAGAAAATTTTTTTCAGGGGGGGTCCACCCCAGTTAAAAAAAAAATCCAATCCCAGAAATTTCTTGACAAGCAAAAAAAAAAAAAAAAAGAAAAAGAAAAATAAACTCGTACAAACGTCAAAAACCTATTTCGTGGGGTGGGGGGGGGGGTGTAGTGGCCTCAAATCTTTCACTTTTCATACCCATTTCACACATATTCGAGTTTACCAGGGGAGGTCGGCGTTTACCAGGGGGGTCCATGGTAACTTTTTTCTTGTTTTAGTATATACATTTTTTAAACTGGTAAATTCCAGGGGGGGGGGGGGGGGGTCCTGACCCCCCCGACCCCCCTCTGCGCATGTTAAAAATATTTTCCGTTTTCTGTTGATTACTATAGTGAAAAACACAAGTTTTATAAAAATTTTGGAGTTATATCTCTTTGTTTTCCCAAATAAGTAATGTTTTATGAAAATCCATATAATTATCTATAAAAATTATTAAAAATTCATCAGATATGTTAACTTTTGAATATTGACTCGGAGGTAGGCGGGAGAACAATACTATCGTTCGCAGTTCTTTACGATCCTCCCAAAGCTATATTTATGATATATATGCAGACTCCGGACCATGGCTCGAGACGATAAGGGAAGAAACGAAGACGATGAAAACACTTCTGGAAATAAAACAAACAATGTCATTATGAAACGTCTGTTCACATCTCAAGTTCTGGCTGGAGTCTTAAAAAATGTTTTCTCCTGTAAGAGCATTCATGTGTCTGTTGTCATCTTGTTTAGATTTTAATTAATACAATAATTATAATATTTATATGTGTATATAAATATTACTATAATGTACAATATAGTTTGAGAGAAATAAACAAACCCTAAAATTAAAGCTTCCAGTACATTTTAGACATATAAAGTTTTGAGTTTTATTACTATTTATAATTAGCCCCTTCACGGTAACTGCGGTACTACTCTTTATAATAATAATAAATAATAACATTTGGCGAAGTTTTTGTTGAGAGATAATTAAATATTTCCATTTCTAATTTTTTTTTCTCTGCGATAACTCTTTCAAAGTTGTCGGAGTTTATTTTTTTATAATTATGCCGGAATGTTAATTAGGCAGGTCGATAGGTCAGGAGCTAAGGAGGCCTAAAATGCATGCAAATCTCGTGCGCAGCTGTCTCTATGTCTGACGCTAAGGAGGCAAAATGTGCATGTAAATCTCGTGCGGCTGCCTAGGTGTTTGACGTCATTGGGCGAGGACTATTGAAATTGGCATGTAATTTAAGTCTATGTCTACATTTTAAAAGTCTAAATCTACCATTTCATTTCGCAATGAAATGAAAATATAAGGAATCACTGTCTAGTTAGGAGAGTATGCCAGGGACATCAACAATAGTGGGAAATATGGGATAATTTTAGCATAACGGGCTTTGCCCGTCATGCAAATTATCCCATGTTTCCCACTATTGTTGATGCCCTGGCATACTCTCCTAACTAGACAGTGATTCCTTAAATGACGTATCTTTAACAATTACTTTTACGTCATATTTCACCAAATTGTATCATTTTGCCCTGCAAAAGAGCAGTACCGCAGTTACCGTGAAACGGTCTATTTTATATTCATGAATTCGAAGAAGTTTCGAAAGAGAGATACGAATTTTAATTTTAAATATATTTAGATGGATTTGTAAGTAATGGATCAATTCAAGGAAGTTTCAAGATCTCAGTGCTTTTTTTTTTTTTTTTTTTTTTTTTTGCGTAAGCTCTACATATTCAAGACTGAAACCGACAAAGTCATCGATCATTTTTGTAATTGTTCCCTTATTTTATTTTAAGTGTGTATTTTAGTTCTCAGTGCGATTGAATGATAGGAGGTGCACTGAAAATCAGAACTTAAAAACATCATGTAAAAAATTAAATATCAAAAATGCCTGGCATATAGTAGATTTACAATTTTTATTTATTTATTTTAGTGTGTACCTGTATGTTCTAAGCTGTCCTCATTTAATTAGAAAGCAAAAATAAAAAAAAATATATCACTCTAGTTGATTTGTGCTATAAATACATGCTCATTGAAGGTTTCAATCATTTTGAGACTAATCAATTTCACAAAATATAGCCAAGGTAGTCCATTATACATCCCAAGGTCGCCATTGACCACCGACGATGCAAAGACATAAATTTTAAAAATTGATTTCAGTCACGTCACCTTAGGCTACAAAATTGACAAACATTAACGAATAAGTGCAGCTTTTGTAATTTGTGCACACAATCAAGCATCTGTAAAAATCGGTCATGCCCCATTGATCACGTCACTAAACTGACGCAAGTGAAAGTTACAAGAAAGAACGGGCGAAAATAACAGAGAAATAGGTCCTCGCGTGTAGACTTTAGTATTTTATCAAAATGCATCAAAGTTGAGATGAAGCGTTTAACGATGAGCTGGCTGTTGTTTATATTAAGTTTTAAGTAGATCTACCACAACTTTTTGTCATGTGCTCTGTTAGTTTACTTTGAACATGCAGTTCGATGTCCGACTGGTCATTTTCCTTGGAAATTTATTTTATATTCAGATAGCAGGTAAGAATTGTCTCGTTAGTTTATCTAAATACGGAGACAATCGTCGAAAAAAAGCTCCATTCACAATTTCTTTATTGAAAAAAGTATTCAGAACATGTACATGTATATTGTTTTGCCTTGAAACACAATTTGTGTCAACACCTGCAAATTATCATTGAGTTTTAATTTTTTTTTTTACCTAGTTGGAATTTCATTATAAACGCATTTAGACTACGTTTTCTTTACTGTGCGTTCTTGGTTTTTCAGATGCTCTGACAAAATATGCCTGCGTGAGTTTTAGCGGTATTGGCGGTAAGTTCGGTGGTTATGGCGGCTTGGTTGGCGGAGGCTGGGATTTTGACGATTTTAACAGTAATTCGGCCTCGGCTTCGTCTGAAGAATTCGGGATGGGGTTAGCACGATTTGCTGGATACGGAACAGTCCAGCACGGAATGGCCCCAGGAGTCGGAACACCTGCGCAAGTCGGCGGCGCAGCCGCACCGGGTATGTCTCCAGTTATGTCCCCTGGAACTTCTCCACTTGCAGCCGGAGGGTTGTCTTCTGGCCTACCAAACACCGCCGCAAACCTCGGGGGTGCTTCTCATATCACTGGACAGGGCTCCGGCGTTGTGGGGGCACCTGTTCCTGGACAAATGCCATTCCAACCACTTGCCCCTGGAAACCCTGGAGTGGTCTTATCCGGAAGTCTTTCCTGCGCAGATCGTCCTCAGACGACCATTTTGATTACAAAACTGGTGTACGGTAATGGTGGAATATACACTTGCTCCGCTCCCGATGAAGAATGTGATGTAGTAGACTACCAGGATCCGGAAATCACGCCATTTTGTGATGGCCAAGTACGATGCATGGTAAGAACGACAGGAAAACAATTGATCCCATGCAAAACGACCAGTAATTTTGTCCACGTGGAGTATGAATGCATTTATCGTAAGTTTATTTGCAATTCTTTGATGAAAAAAGAAACCGAAACATGAACAACCTAGTAACTTTCAGCATTTAATGCAAAATCCTAATATTTGTAAAATTTGTAGTTTTCATTCAATTTAGCATGGTCTTCTTTCGACATCTGCAAAGACATCAAAACTGTTGTTCGAGAACCGGAAGTTTACATTATGTCACCCAGCTTCTTCCGGGCTCAATCCCCACCATCAAAAGTATGCGAGTGCATCTTGAAAGGTCGCTACGACAATCGCATCATGGCTCAGTATGTTCATACAGACATAGAAGAAACAGCGAATCACTCGTGCCCGGAGAGTTTTGTTCTGTTTGAGAGTAAATTGAGTCCAAATCAGACGGATTTGGAGAAAAAGACCGAGGTCTGTGGACGACGCTCCCTCAACAATTACTTGTATAAAGGCGATCTCAGAATTACTTTTAAGGACTCGGATTCTGGCAAGAAGAGTGGATTTGTTTCTAAATTACTTGGTATGTATTTTTTAAATTATAAATGATATTCATTACTTTTTAAGCATATATTTCCATCAAATGGTTGAGATGAGTAAAGAATAAATGGAAATAGATAAATACATGTACTTATTAGCTCGATCTAAGTGAATGCCACAAGTTATTGTTACATGCTGTTCTTTAATCCACCTTCAAATTCTCTTAAAAACCATTTGAAAAAAATAATAAAATTAATAGGGATATCAAAATATTTATTTTCCTTAGTCGAACATTCGATTGCATTATTCGAACGATAGTCGACTATTCGGAGCATTTTTTGAAAAAAAAATCTCATCGATAGCGTTTTTATAAATCAAAAACCTTTTTCGTAAATTTATGTAAAAAGTAACATCACATGCCTATACCGTGTGTTACACACCAATATTCAAATGAATCTTAAGTTCGGATAAGACGTATATATGAAATAGATTTACACCAACTTAAAGCTTATTTAAAATAAACTGGAAAGGGGGGGGGATTATTATTTTAATAATTATCGAAGTTTCAAAACTTTACGGCTATGCTGTGTTCCTATAGCATAATTTAAACTTTCTTAGAGGTAATAAATAAATTTATAATTGGTACAAGTCCAATTAATAATTTTCAAAGTCCAGTAAAGCGCTGCATACTAACAATAACAAAAAAGGCCAGTAATTGAAAAATAATTATCGCGGTATGTAATTACTGTACTTTCCATGTGTACGATGTGGAAACTTATCTATATACTGTTAAGCTTTTATTCGTCCGAGGTCGGATACTATTATATAAATATTGCATGTAGTTGAGTGTAACATTGAAAATTTTCACCCCAAGAAAACCATTGTCAACCGAGGCGCAGCCGAGGTTGACAATGGTTTTCGAGGGGTGAAAATTTTCAATGTTACACTCAACTACATGCAATATTTATTATATTATACTGAATGTTTTATACAAAAACATGTTACAGTGAACCGTGCGCGCATAAATTCCGCGCAGTCGCTATTTTTTGTAATACCACCCGTCGTCAAGCAATGTTGACTGTTGCTACGCAGGAGGGCGTGGCTTCATTATTCAGCGGGTAGTAGTGTTTTTTATCAAATGTTTCTCGACGAATCAGATTCAAGTAATTTACATGAAAGTATAATACAATGGTTTGAGGAATGACGCTTTACAATTTTGAGTTGATAATTCTTTAACACCTCCTTTTTTGCATTTATTAAATATTCGAATCGTTTCATTATTCGATAGTCGGTCCATTCGACTGATAGTCGAGTAGTCGACTATTCGTTAATATCCCTAAAAATTAATCAGAAATAAAAGCAAATAAATAATATAATACGTATAATGCTGCAAAATTCTTACTCAAAAATGCACTATATTGCAAAAATTGACGGGTCATGCTTCTAAAAGCTATATTGAAATATTGATACCGGGTATATTGCAATAATGAATGGTTATTTTGTTTACCTCTCACAGTTCCACCGGTTGGTATGGGTGTTCAGGTGGAGATTGCGTTAGAGTGCGGACCTGTAAGAATGGCAGGGGAACCAACTCCTGACCCAAACAGTATTAACAGGAGTAATTTAGGACCAATGCCATTTGCGGGGCCATTTGGCCCATATTCCCCTTTAGGAACTCTAAACTCCCAATTCCAACAGTCTCCGAGAATTCCAGCTCCTCCTGTTTTTGAGGGGTCTCAGGCTATGCCGACATCGGGTTGGAGAGCTCCGTTCCCAGTCATTAACACTGGTCCTATGAACTGGGGACGACCGGCCACAAACTGGGGGCCTCCACAGTTCCAGTTTCCAAAATTTTCTGCTGGTCCACAAAACACACCGTCAGGTTCTACCACTACTAGTCCTCCTGCGGCCTGGTCTAGAAATGAAAAGCCACCAATCCCCAGCAACAACAAACCGGCACTGATGACAGCAACGAGAAAGCAGCAACCTCAGCCACCGAGAAAAAATCCAGGTCAGGTTAACAGAGGTCCAGTTCAGCCAAAAAGAGCCCAGCCAAACCAGGCAAGAAGGGGTCAGGGTCAACCAAACAGAGGGCCAAGTCCACCAAGACGAGGTCCAGGTCCACCTAGAAGAGGTCCAGTACAGCCAAAGAGGGCAAGAATTGAAAGTAAAGACACAGTGATAGAAACAAAAGACAAGAGTGTTGATAAAACAGGTAAAAACTACTCAATGTATTGGTTCTTAAATTTTCTTTTATTTTTATTCTCTTTTTGTTGAAGAAATATTTCATAGGAAAAGAATCTTTAAAAATATGCTTTTGGAAAAATCATTCACAAAGAACAAAATTATAATTAAGCAGTTTTTGTATACAGTTCATCAAACTTAATGGTTTTTGTTTGTTAACTGCAGGACAAATGGTTGGCTATGTCATCGGTGGAGTAGGTGCAGCCATGACGGCTTTTTGTGCTCTTTTCATCTCCATGTACTGCACAAGAAGGTAAACAAAATACATGTTCTAAAATTACCACCATAAAAGCTTGAATTCCTGCTACGTGGCATTTATTGATTCAACAACTAGTAATGATAGAATTGTATTTCTACGCTAAAAAGCACCCTTCAAGGTACCAGTTTATTTTTTGTCACAAAAATGTTTTTCAGTAATTTTCACGTTGGAAGTAATGGCTCATATACAGTACTTCAATTTTTATAGAAGTTTTCTTTATTTGAAGAAGAGTTCTAAATAATAAGTATACCGGTAATTGAAAATTTTCATTTCATAGAAGGAGGAGGGTAATAGAAAGGAAAGCGTCACGGAGATCAGAGACCGATCTTGCTGACTCACCATCTAGTATTGAGGACTCGCCAGTTTACACGGTACCTTCTGCTGAGGACCACGTGCATCCATCAGCGCGTGCCAATACAGGTCACGTGAATCAAGCTTTTGACGGAAATGACGTAGCGTCATGTGACAAACTCAGTGTGAGATCTGGGTCGTTTGAGAATATCCATCTGCAAGATGACGATGCTAATTATCTGTCGTTAGATGAGGTAGCAGAGGCGAGGAAAAGGGAACGTGAGGGCGAGGCTCCTCCTCCCATGGAGTTGAGGATCGACTCTAAGTATTGTCAGAGTAGGGAGGTTATTAGACGGTCTCATCATATTGAGGGGTCTGTCTATGATAACAATATTTAGATCTAAGAAAATCCGAAATCTGATGATTTTACATTTGTTTTTAAATGTAAATAAATATATATACATATATAAACACGTTCTACAGTTGATTTGTTTTTTTAATTAGATAATAGAAAACAGGGTATATAAACAATGTTGAATTTGCAAGGCAGTTTGGAATGTTCTTAAAGTCGTGCAAATTGCATTCTTGATTATTGTATAAAGTTCTTTTCCACTGGATAGATTTTCCAATCTTCCAAGATTGATAAACTAAAAAATTTTAACAGGAATGTATAAAAAGTATGCATAAAATTGATCTATGCTTTATAAAAATGCCATTTGTAAACTAATGTTGACAAACCGTCTCCATCAAAGAATGCAGCCTCGATCTTGATACCCTAAACACAACATAAAGATTTTACAAGGAAAACAAGTGTATCCCAAGTTTTTATGTTCAACGTTGCTTTCGATAATTTTGTCACATAATGAGTCACCAGCACTTGAACTCAAAACCGGCAAGGCCTTCGAGCAAGTGAACAATGTATCATTGCAACAGGGATCTTGGTTTCTGAGGTTTCTTTTGAAAGACCCGATTATACGTCCCTTAGTGGGATTGGAACCAACCTCTATCCCAAGTGATAAAAGCTTCTTATGATTTACAGAATCTGTGGAATATTAATTTAGACATGTTCAATAATTTCACATTGTGAAACTGATACAGTTAGTTATTAAATGATAAAATACGTTCTCTGTTTATGCTGGGATAAACACTTGCAAACGTTGTAGAAAAATACCAACATAACACACTCCTCATGTTATATACATTTTTCCGCAGTATAAAAAATATTTATATATATATATATATATATATATATATATATATATATATATATATATATATATATATATATATATATATATATATATATATATATCATATAAATGTTGTCTTTTTAAATGTCTTATTGCCGTCTGACTCCATGATGGAAGAACTATGATGAAACATGCAGTTGTTTTAGAATCTGTCATGGATTTTAAAACCGGACCAAACTAGTCTTAAAGTTGATCATGTTTATTGATAGATAAAAAAACAATCGGTTCCCATTATAGGTAATGGAGAAAGATCAACCCTCACTGTCGTTTGGCATTTATGACCTCTTAAAAATCAGGAAAATATTTTCCACTATGTTAGTAATGTAGATTACTAGTACATAGAAATTATAAAAATATCGCTTAGATTTCATATATATGAATTAGTATTCTATGCAAAGAAATTGGAAGTCTGCTGAAATAAACACTTTTTAACACATTGAAGGCTTGGTCTGTATCGGACCACATTCAATCAGAATTAATCAAAGCTGTGATGAAGCGTTTCATGACTTTGGGACATCGTAGATTCACTCAGAATTTAAGCGAGGTCCTTATATTATAACAAGTATTTCGAGACATGAAGTTCGCTGTCCGATGGGTCATTTTCTTCGGAAGTTTTATTTTACATAGCCAAGTAACAGGTGAGAATACTAGAAGCCTGATGAGTATTATCATATTATGAAGGAAATTTTAATGGATTTTTCAGTGTTATACATTGGAAATTACTTATTTCTTTTATCAATAACTTTGTCTTTTTTACATTGACAAAACAATCTTTTCCAACTTTTCTCAATATGTAAATCTTTCCAATGTACGTGTATCAAAATTATAAGTTTCAAATGCCAATTCATTTATATGCACTATTTCAGAGGCTGTAACGAAATACGCCTGCGTGAGCTACAGTGCTGGATTAGGCGGGGGAGTGAACGCTGGTTATGGCGGTATCGGTGGAGACCTGGATTTTGGCGGCGTAAGCAGCGCCGAGATATCCGCCTCCTCCGAGGAACTGGGTATGGGATTGGCAGCTGGATACGGGACGGTCCAGCACGGAATAGCCCCAGGCGTTCCCGCTCCGGGTGTTCCACTCCAAAGTATGTCTCCCGGCATCTCTCCGCTTGCAGTGTCGTCTGCAGCAGGAGGGCTCTCAGCACAAAACACGGACGCGGGAGGAACAGCTTCCGGTCTACCAAACACTGCAGCTAGTCTTGGAGGGGCTTCACATATTACTGGACAAGGTACTAATGTCGCCGGCACCCAAGAACAAATGCCATTTACAAAACTGGCACCTGGACACCCAGGCGTTTTCTTGACAGGAAGTCTTTCTTGTATTGACCGTCCAGGAACGACTATTTTGATTACAAAACTGGTGTATGGTAATGGAGGGCTTTACACCTGTTCTTCTCCTGACCAGGATTGTGATGTCGTGGACTACAAGGACTCTGAAATCACACCGTTCTGTGACGGGCAGATTAAATGTGTTGTTAGGACCACAGGGAAATTACTACCCACTTGTAAAACAACCAGTAATTTTGTTCACATAGAGTACGAATGTATCAATGGTAAGTATGTATGATTTTAAATTGTATAAACATTGTTGATAGACTGATTGATTGTATGATGTTTTACGTCCTGTTCGAGAAATTTTCACTTATATAGAGACGCCATCATATACCGACGAAGAGCTTCAAATTTAGACATTTACTAGTTGAGATGTTTACTAATTGATCAGATGTGTCAAACATTCAAAAATACATGTATAACCATTAAAACTATAAATTCAAATTATCATATATAAATTGAATATTCCTGCATAAAAATATATTAAACAATATATTAAACCATTCGTATATATTTTTATGATATAATTTGGTTTTCTCTACAGCATGGTCTTCTTTTGACATTTGCAATGATATCAAAACTGTTGTTAACCAACCGGAAGTATTCATCATGTCACCTAGCTTTTTCCAGTCTGAATCCCCTCCAACCAAATTGTGTGAGTGTATTTTAAAAGGTCGTTACGACAACCGCATAATGGCGCAGTATGTTCATACAGATATACACGAAGGAAACAACCACTCGTGCCCGGAGAGTTATGTCCTCTTCGAGAATAAACTAAGCCCCAACCAGACGGAATCGGAGAAGAAAGTTGAGGTTTGTGGGAGAAGATCACTCAACAACTACATGTACAAAGGAGATCTAAGAATCACATTTAAGGACGTGGATTCAGGAAAAAGAAGCGGGTTTGTTGCCAAGTTACTTGGTAAGAACATCTAAATTTAAGAAAAAAGACTCTTAATCAATGAAATGATATACTAGTAACTGGTAGATGTTTGATTGAATTAACGTATACTTTTAAATTTCCGCTGGTAACTTTAAAATTATTATGTTTGACAGTACCGCCTGCTGGTTTTGGGGTTCAGAATGAGATCGCAATGGAGTGTGGCCCAGTCCGAATGCCTGGGGACCCAACCCCTTCGCCCAATAGTATAAATAGGAATTTAAGAAGAATGCCAGGTCCATTTGGCCCATATGGTCCAATGGGGGCGATGAATCCCCAGTTTCAGCAGTCACCAAGAATTCCAGCTCCTCCTGTCTTTGAGGGAATGCAACAGACAATGCAGCCAAATAACTGGGGTATGTCACTACCAGGAATGCATCCCGGACCCAAAAACTGGATGGGACCTACGAACTGGGTCGCTCCGTCGTTTCCTCAATTTCCTGCTGGCCCGCAAAACTTGCAGTCTTCCCCCACGACAAGCAGTCCTCCCCCAGCTTGGTCCAGAAACCAGAATCAACCCTCCCATCACGGGAGGAGGAAAGGACACCAGGTTCATTTTATGGGAGGTAGTAGGGGAACGACAGCTGCTCCTCCCAATAATTTAAACCCTTACGGAATAGTTATGAATAACAATAGGAGAGGTCAACCAACGAGGTCAAGGTTAAGAAGCAAAGAGGCTGTTACAAAAAATGACGAAGCAGGTACATACGTCATAGCCCATAATTTTGTCATTTATTTAAAAAAAAATAAAATATGCATTTGCAAATTTGGAGATGGGTGAACATGACGAGAGATAAGCCCATAGCGCGACAAACATGAAGGTGAAAAACTAAATCTCATTTATATCAAAATTTTCCTTAATATTTCATCTAACATTAAAGTATACTTTATGTAAAATCTCTACAACTTGCACAAATCTTATGAAGATTGAAGTTATTTGCCTATGAAATATTATACACACACGAAAGAGGACAAAACGAGACATTTTTTCACACTATAACACTATTTTTCGTTATGAGTGGGTCTTCTCTCCATTTTTTTGAAAGGTAATCCTCAAAGTTTACATAAAAACATACATATTTTGGTTTTCAAAATTATGGAGCAAGGACCCACTATACCTTAAAAATATAATTTTATGACATAACTTTCGCATTTAGGACTGATTTTTGCCCTCTTTATTTGATTTATATGGTTTATTATCGAGAAATACTCGAAGCCCTTAAGTCAATGGTCATATCACAAACATGATTTAAATGCCACACTTCATCAGGACTTGTGTAGCGTATTGGTTAGCGTGCTGGTCTCAAAAGAGAATACAACTGAGGATTTTTATTGCCAGGGTTCGAACCCAATGGATACCTCATTATTTATTTTTTTTATATAAAGAATGCATTTTAACGAAAAATTTTCCTCAAAACTTTTTGTTTCTCATGATTTCATAAAAATCAATGATGAGAACTTTACTCTAAATACTGAATTCACAATTTGAATATATTTTTATATATCTGAAGCTATTGGGCTTTCTGCACGCTAAGTTCACCCATCTCCTTACAAGATGATTATAAGAATTGACGCTTTCTGGCAGAATAGTACAAAATGAGTTAAATTTTTAATAGCTAAAACTTAGGAAGTCGAATTTGAAATTTTGTTTCTGTAGATAACCTGGTCGTCTACGTCATTGGAGGTATTGGCGCCATCATGGCTGCTTTATGTACCCTCTTCATCTCCATATACTGCACACGAAGGTAAAATTTAGAAAGACAATTATTTACAAAAATACTTATCTAATTAATAGTGGACATTGTTACGTTCCTGAAAAGATACGCTTCATTAAGTGAGTTAATTCTTTTGACATTAATGTGTAATAAACTCGTTGTTCCCTGAACAGAGAATCTTTTAGGACTGATTTTTGCCCTCTTTATTTGATTTATATGGTTTATAAGACTGATCATTGTTTGATGTACATCTATCTTCACCAGTTCTATATTTTACAGAATTTGATAAAACAAAGAAATAATAATTTTATTTACACTAGTGTTGACAAAACATATGTGCTGTAAAATTACTCATTTTAGAGTTGATGAGTTTAAGTTTGTATAGACCTTAATTGTGTCATGAATAGATTTTAATTTGTTTCGGGGTTTCATTAATTAATTTTTTTTTAATTTTATGAATATTTTATCCGCCTTCTAAACCAGATGTGTTCATTATAAAAATATTATGCAAGATTTTCCTCGGTTTTTTTTTTCAATAGAAGACAGAGGATTTTAGAAAGACGAGCATCTCAAAGGTCAGATTTAGCTATTGGTACACAAAGCTGTGGAGAGGCATCAGACGTTTACAACATAACGGCTTCTGAAGGGGAATCACAGGCATCACAGTGCACCAATACAGGTCTTGTGAATAAAGCCTTTGTTGAAACCGAGATAACATCTTGTGGAGAGAATGGAATCGTAGAAAAGTGTCTTGAAGATGATGATAATTATCAGTCGTTAGAAGAGATAGAAGAGGGAAGACTGGCAGATGAGGATGATCCTCTGTCTTTAGAGGTGAAGATTGACCCCGCTGACCGTGTGAACTCTGAAGGTCGGGATAAGGAGGAATCAGCTGATCAATCTAAGGAAAATGCATACGATAACAATGTGTAGATGATACACCAATGAATTAACAATCTGTCTTGCAGGAAATATTAAAATGTCAATAAATTTCTTTTTTCATTTCATGGCTTAGTTTAAACTTTTTTAAAATAGTTTGCAACGCCTTTTGCTCAGTATGCTAACATGGGACTGAAAATTATTTCTCCATGCAGCGGTATGACTTGTGACATGCTTTTTGACTTATTGTAGTGCAGGTTCGTATAACGCATGTTAATATTATCATTCACAAGTATTTGATGATGCGTGTAAATATTGACAATCCTCGAGATTAGGCCTATATGCTCAACTTTCATTGTTTATCAGAACGACAGAAGACAAGAAGATTATCTTACCTGAAACAGAATGTGAAACACATCACAAAAGTAGAACTGACTATAGCAGGGAAACATATTGAGTAATTCTACTTTCATCAATACATTATTTTTTTTTATTATACCCGCGCTTGAAAAGCGGGATGGTATATAGTAATAGGGATGTCCGTCTGTCTGTCTGTTCGTCCGTCCGTCTGTTACGCTTTTCAAAAGGAACCCATCTCTTATCCGCAACTCCTCTCATACCACTGAATGAAATTTGATGAAACTTTCACAGAATCTTTATTATATATTGCCATTGTGCACCTCCTATTTTACTTTTTGATCCGACACATATTTTGGGTTTCCCATAGCAAAACATGGACTCTGCCATAATATACATATGGGAGGCGAGAGGCATCATTTAGTGAGCTCAATGCTCACAGTACCTCTAGTTTGTAAAATGTTATTTCGAAATGAAAAAAAAAATTTGAAAGATATGATCGAGTAACCTAAAAGTCAATTTAAACACAGAATAAAACTTGATACACGTACATATTTGTGTTAATTTTGCATATAAAGTGTATTGTACTTACATATACGCTTGGTGGTGTTTTAGGGGAAAGACGTTTTAAATACAAAACATTTATTTATGACGTCTCTAATCACAATTTTCATATTCTTACCATGTCACCCATAGATAAATTTGTCAATATACAAAAAAAAAATAAATAAATAAAACGATGAAATGTTGTCCTAAAGTTCTTGGTCAGCCCAAGAAAAACATATTGCTTCATAATCTTTTCTGCTTTTATAGAAATACTTTTCTCTCTTCTGTTGCCTAATTAAGAAAAAAATGACATTGGTTGCAGCTAGGATGGTATCTTTTAGAATTTATCTTTTGAATATATAAACGATTAATTTTTAACTCTCTTTATATATAAACCATAAATTCATAAACTGAAAATTAACAACTATGAATATATAACGGGATCGATATTCCGGCATGGATTGGTGTAGACTGACAATTGTGTTAAAGATGTATTCTCTTTTGACATCACGTTTTAATAAATTGATTAATTGATAGATACACAATAAAATTATTTATAATAATTTAAACTTTATTTATATCAATATTCCTTGGAGGGGTTTAGGATTTGTATTTCTATTTGATTGCCAGGTTCTATCGCAGTCTTACGAAATAAGGCTTCTTTTAAGCAAGCACATAAACAGATAAATAGCTGACCACATATTTTTCAATGTTATGACTTTTATTTTCTTATCATATGTTGACTTGTTCTGATAAGTGATAGCAGGTGATGATACAATCGCGGCGATTGCCAATATTTACATGTATCATCAAATACTTACAGCTTGTCAATAACTAAATGACTAAGCAAAACGCAGAACTCGGACAAAGAGAAACACTCATTACTTCATTTAGCTAATTTTAATTCCCGAAAAGACATTTCTATTAACATGCATAATCAAATTATCATTTGAGTCAGGAAAAATAGAAATGTTGAATAATAAATAATCATAGGTTGCATTTTTCCCTTTTGGTCGAACTATGGTACGACATTTTCAGCGTTCCGTAATAGTACTTCGACACAGTTATTTATATCTATGGGGTCGTAAAGGATGACATGGAAAGAGTGTGAGTGATTCAAATAGTGAATATCTTTAACAATTTAATAATTTGAAATGAAGATGATATTCACTTTGAATACTGTTTGTTATATCCATATGTTACCTATAAGCCGGAGCATGATGTTTAACATTAGAAAATTACCCCTCTCCACTCAAAAAAGACTACAATTAATGGAGTCTAATTTTCTTAAAATGATTATTAATAAGAGTGGTTCAATAGTAAATGTCTTTGATAATTGGAATAAAGTTACGAACAATGTTGTTTATTTGTTACTTTAAAATACAGTGTATGTAGCTAGACATTCTCAATGAAATATTATCAATCAACTTAGTGATCAAAAAGGTCTTTTGAAATTGTATTCAGTAACTTATGTGTTTATTGTACATGCATGCACATTTGAATTTAGGAATAATACTTGATAAATCATAAGTGTCTTTATGGCGCCTCAAATCACTCAAGGTCACACTCTTTCCATGTCATCCTTTACGACCCCATAAATGTGTCGAGGTACTATTACAGAACGCTTCAAAAATGTTGTACCATAGTACGACTAAAAGAGAAAGTGAAACTTCATGATTTTTTTTTAATTATACTTCCGCTTGAAAAGCGGGAGGGTATATAGTAATCGTTATGTCCGTCCGTCCGCTCGTCTGTTTGTTACGCTTTGGGGTACCCATCTCATATCCGCAACTCCTCCCATACCACTGAATGAAATTTGATGAAACTTTCACAGAATCTTTATTACATATTGCCATTGTGCACTTCCTATTTTATTTTTCGATCCGACACATATTTTGGGTTTCCCACAACAAAAGATGGACACTCCTATTATATTCATATGGGAGGCGGGGGTATCATTTAGTGAGCTCATTGTTCACAGTACCTGTAGTTGTTATTTATTTTCAACATATCTGTTTTTCCTGAATGAAATAGTAGGGGGGAAGAAATTATACTAGTTGCTATTCCTAATTCACAAATATAAAAAAGAGCATTGACAAACATTATCTAAATATACTTCTATGCTTATATAAAGAAATGGTCTACACAGTAAAATAACCAAAGATTTTTGATGGGGCATTGCATTATTCCCCCAACCATTCCCCCAAATGAAACTGCTTCTTACGAATCAGACAATTTTCAGTTTTTGAAAACGGTATATCATTACCGCTACATTTTCAAAATTTTCATTACCGCTACATACTAAATAGTCATTACCGCTACAAAAAAGTATACATTACCGCTACATTTTAAAATATACTTTACAGCTACATTGACTCTTTAATATTAGCCGGCTGCTTAAGCTTTGTATATACATATTATGAAGTTTTATATACAAATTGGAACCACAGAAATATAAAATTTACAACATGTAATGGACGTAAATAAAAGCGTTACATGTGGTATACGGTTACAATCACTGTTATCAATGGTACACGTCTATAAATTCATCAGGGCGCGTTCCATTGTAGCGACGTATCTGTTAAGCTGATTATCAGCAAACGTACTGACACGAGAGAATGATGAAAACTAACCGTTCTAAACACGGGTATTCTGAAATAGTGCCCGTCTGTAAATCAATTTGTAATCGGACATCGTTAACAAGGCATTGTAACTCATCCTTAGTGGCAAGCTGAAGAGAGCAAACTTAACCATATTGCACCCAACCCGTCTACATAACGGGACAAATACCCGGGCTGCAAACACAGAGCAATTACAGAGGCTGTGGAGGTCTGTGTTTCCGATGAGAGCAAATATTGTGGTATGTTGTTCGTCTTTTTATCATTGAATTAGTTATCGTTCATCTTCATTGAGAGTAAGGGTATTATTGTGCAATTAACTACATGTAGAATCATTTGGATTTTGCATCTAAGTATCAATTAAACACCTTTATCTTCTCAATAGTTTATATCTGGTCATGTAATGCCATTCTTTATGTGATTTATCAGAAATGAAAATGTCAATGAAAAGATTTTTTAAAAATTAAAGATATTAATCATACTAATGATAGCTTTTGTGTCTATTTGCTCCAATATTGTTTGATGTAACTTATCTATATGAAACAAAACAAGAGAAAATCATTGTTTATTTTTTCATATATATATTTTAGACATTTTTAGTACAAATACATGTATTGTAAATTCATGCTTTGTTCGTAAGGGTAAAATTGTACAAATAGAAAATATATACTGTCTAGAACTATATACATGTACTTGTACCAATAGATATCGTATTTTGACATCATTTAATTTCACTAAACCAACGTGTAGCTTATGCTTGTAATACGTTTGTGGTAATAATGTTGTGTGACGTTTTCTAGATCTGTATTAAGATTTTAGTAGTAAAGACTTCTCAATTTTAATTTTCTTCAAAAAAAAATTCTCTTTGTAACTTGTCGCGGTGCATTAGATTTGCTTCATCATTGTTAGACAGGTAAAATGCATGTTTTTATCACAAAGTTAAATGATCATGTACTTTATGAACTTAATTCATGTCCTGTTTCATGTTCTATTTTATGATTCGATGCTTGTTTTCTCTTCACTATTTATCATTCTGAAAAATCAGGCAGATGGTAATTTAGAACAAAAAAAAAATTGTTCCATTTTTTGAATTTTTCTTAATAAGAGACCGCTAGATACACAATTGTACGGAGTCTCATTAATTTTCTTACTCCCAATCTTGTTTTCAGGAAGGTCCCAAGTATGTCGCTTAGAAATACTTTCCTCCCTTTGTTCGTCATCTTTGTCTACAGTGCCTGGCAATGCCAGGCATATCCATCTGGGGCACCCGGCTGTAAAGCAAACGGCATACCACAATCGGAGTACGATTTCATGCCGTCTCATGGAACTACTGTGGACGATCAGACCCTCCCGTATTATGTGAATGCAACAAATTCCGGGAAAGACTGGACAGGTACGACATCTTTATTAGCTTATTTAATTGTTTAGATGTTTTATAAATTATCATCATTAAAGTTTTCGAGAAAAAAATAAATAGATAAACTTAAAAATTCATGAATTTAATAGAATAACTCCAAAAGATTTTTTTTATATATTTTTTTCAAATTCTTCATGGTTAAATCAAATATGCCCTTTTAATTTTATTTATTATCACACAGCGGTGATCTGGGCCGAAAATAGTTATTTTAGAGGATTTTTCTTACGTGTTATGCCACTGAACGCCTCTGATACAGTAACAGGAAGATACGTCACAATGCCAACTGGTACCAAAAACTGTTCAGATTCTGTAAGTGATGTTTAAATACTTTCAAACTCAATTTTCATTCTTGGTAGATAATTTATCTTTTAAAGCTTACATTAATTTCAGGGAAATACATGTACTTCTTCGCATTGTACAGATATTTTATCTTCGAAAACAGTCGAAGGAATACGTGAAATGGTCAATTCTCTGTGGATATTTGTTAAATTCACCACTATTGGGGAAAAAAGATTTTCACACTTATTTGTCCTTCAGTGTACATGAAATTGAGTTTCAAAGGACAATTTTTGAGTGAAATTCCCTCCTAAAAGCAGCATCTACACTGAAAAAAAAGAACTAGTGAAAGTCACGAAGAAGACTAGTAAATTTACTGTCCATACAATCACTACCTTAAAAGTAGTTTTACTAGGCATTCGGTAGATTTAATAGATAATATTAGTAAATCTAAGAATTTAAGGGTACTTAACACAAACAAAAATTCGATGCATGGATTGATATATATTTTTTTATTGATTCTGATTTGAAATGACCTAAATAACAAATCCCTGAAATATTAAGAAATCGTAGGATTTCCTTCGTACTTAGATATGAGACTTTGTTTTGCTTCCTATATAATTATATAGAAAATTTTGCACAATTTTTTAACCTTATGACAAAATCTTTTAAAATTTTCCAACTATACTTGGTAAACATTATTTCGGTTACCAATTGAAATGTAAATCTATGAGAAATATTGCTGATTTCCAAAAAAAGTTTGTTTGTGTTATTTATCCTTAAAAGTAACTTTCACTAGGTATTTAATATCAATTCTCTGTAATTATCAAAATTGGTTGGCCACGCATAGAAAAACATTCTGATTTTTTTATAATAATTTTAAACAGCTATGTCATTAATTGTAAAATCTAAGTGGGTTTATGAAATAGACCCTTGGTTGCCATAGAAACGGGGTGCAAAATTCTCAATTTCGTTAATTTTGAAAAACGTGTACTTGTCAAGAAAAACTGTGTCCAGAAATGAAAAGGGATAACTTAATATGTTTTCATTATTTAAATTTAATCCTACAGATTAAAGTAATTATATCTGTAGTTTTAATTTAATCTCTCAATAGTAAATGGCCATTTTACATATTATAACATATCAGATATGTGACTGGTTTAGTGGAGTTTTTGGAGGCTTAAAACAAATAAGGCACACTGATTACAAATTTAGTAATAATTAATTATGAAAGGCTGATATTTGGTTATATCAAAATATGTAAAATATTGGTGGGAGACTCAAAGATGTAAAAGGAATTCAAAGGTAAAGATGACTTTTTTCTACATTTTGAAGCATTTTTTGCTTCCTAATTACTTCCCTTGAACTACTCTCTAACGTTTGGAGGTACAATGTGTATTTAGTAAACAGCAATGAACATTTTCTGGCGAAAGATCTCATCCAAGTTTTACAGTCTGAAAGAAGAAAAGAAGGCTAGACATCTTAAACAATGAAGACAGAAGGTAAATTTATGTATATACTGAGCATTACAAAAATATCAAGATTAACAAATGAATATTTTATTTGCCTTACAATACACAGTTGTTTTACCGGTAGTGGTCACTGGTCCTTATCAAATCAAGCGAACTATACCTTTTGACAGTTTGACTTTCTGACCAATGAATTAATTATTTCTATTAATAAAAATGAATTTGAAGCATATAAACATCACTTGCTGATACAGCTGAACCCCCCCCCCCCTGAAATATAAATGTCTATATAGAGATTGTATAAAATCTGTGCCATTCAGTAGGTTTACTTTTTATGATGTGCTGAGACAGTGAGAGAGACTTTTAAGTGAACAATATTTATCTTTATAATATAAATTTCCACTTCTGTCAGTTTTCATTCATTGTTTATCCTATTATTTCAATTCTTTATTGGCATTAGGCACATATTTTACAGAATTGTGTTGTTAAAATATTTTAAGTTTGTTTCTATAAAAAAAAGTGCATCAAACGTTTATAATGTGTGAGCACAAGCATAAAGTAGCTAAGTTTTTTTTAAAAACAGTATTCTATATATCAGCAAAATATGGTCATGGTTCATAAGCAGAAAATAGGAAAACAGCATGTTTGTTTTGATGTCATTGTTTTATTTAATAGCTTCTATCTTTTAAACTTTAAATTTATTATATATATCCAAAACTGTACTATATGTATTGACAAAATAGATGTAGGTTAAGAATGCACTGGAAATACTGAGATATTTTTGTGTATATAGACTCTTTCATTCGTCTGTGAAGTACCGGTACTGTATAATCTATAGTTCAATTTTGTGTGAATAATAATAATCTTTTCAAATAGCAAACAGTAAAAAATATATATGTACACTTGTACATATGTATTGTGTTAAAACAAAATTTAACTAGAGGTACTGTGAGCAATGAGCTCACTAAATGATACCCCCTGCCTCCCATATGGTTATAACTGATGACAAATCCATGTTTTACTGTGGCCGGGAAACCCAAAATATGTGTCGAATCAAAAAGTAAAATAGGAGGTGCACAATGGCAATATGTAATAAAGATTCTGTGAAAGGTTCATTAAATTTCACTCATTGCAGTGGTATAAGAGGAGTTGCGGATAATAAGAGATGGGTACCCTAAAGCTCAACAGACACACAGACGTACAGACAGATGGATGTACAGCTAGACGGACATACCGATTACAGTATACCCTACCACTTTTCAAGCGGAGGGTATAATAAAACTATATACATGTACATGTAGAATATTCACCTCTGATTTATAATGATATTTGTTTTATACACACTGACCATCTTTTATAATATTCTAAACAAATTATTTGATACTCAGGCAAATATTCACTACTTGTAAGATGATCACACACATGAACATGTCTGTGTATGAATGAAATGAATTTTCCTTTTGATCATGTTCCTAAGAAAATAATTATTTTCATCATTTTTTCATCAAAGGATTTACCATATAAGATGAATGAAGAAAAAGTAAGACCAGTAAACCAAAACAGGACCAAATAGGCCATGACTGAAGTTCAAGTGCATTCTGCAAGAAAGTGGACAGCCTAGATTTTGTTCTTTTCAAGGTAACCATTCTTAAAATATGAAAGTAAATTAAGGACAGATGATACAAACAAAAAATGGATGCCGGGATTGGTATAAATTTTTTGGCATATAAATTTAATTGCAAATTAATGATGCTATTAATAAATTTCTAGAATATTAAGAAATTGTAAACCTTCAGTGATGTTCAAAAGTCTGCCCTCTTGAAACTATCCTTATTAATCTATACAAATATTTTTCACTTCAAATTAAATTTTTATGCAAATATGAATTAAAAATTAAAAAGTACTTGAAGTAAGTTATTAATTTTACTTATTTAAACAGGACCCCAGTTGTTATTTTCAAATTCTTTGACAAAAGTTTGTTTGTATCATCTGTTCTTAAATTGTTAAAAAATATTTAAGTTTTATATCTAAATTTAAACCTTGCTTATTTCTTTTTTTTAAACAAAATTTAATACCTGTCCAGTAACAGAAGAATTATTATACTAGAATAAAGAAAACAACTTTCTAAAGGATTACATACACATTTAATTAGCTTGAAATCAGTGGATATTGGAAAGTGCAGGAATTATTTACCGTTGCAGGTTGAGAAGGGATGCCATATTTTAGGTTTGAAACCAGGCAAGTGAAAGCTGAATTCCAACCTACTTCATCATACTTGTACCCACTGTCTTCAAGATATCAGTGTTTGAGATGTCAAAGTTCAAATATAATAGGAACATGTTTATCATATTATGTGATGGCATCCTCAAATCTTATGCTGTATAACAATATGTTTTAGAACTTATCAAGCTTTATCCTGTACCTTGCCAAAAAAAGTCAACTCAGCATAATTCTCATTAACTAATTATCAGTGTTACTTGCATATGTCAATGTAGGTCATTACTGGTACATGCCTGCGTGACCAACAAAAACTCTAAAATTGAAAAATCAGAGACAAGATTTTCAGAGCAGCAGAAACAGTAGAATTTGTCACGTAAATCTAATGATATGTACCGTAGTTGAGAATACATGTACTCTAAATGTTGCATATATAAAAAATAAAAAAAGCGAAAAATTCTGTTGTTTTCAGAATTTATATTTACATGTGAAAAAAAGAAAAGGAGATTGATATAGTTGGTGTGATGAGATGTTGGCAGGAACCTAGTAAAATGAAAGGAAGAACTTCCTTAAAATGATACTTGTGGGGGACAGTGTCTCATGGGGGGGGGGGGCATTCTTTAAACTGACTTTAGTTTAATATATATTTTATTCACAGAAATGGATTGAACAGACTTTCAACTGACTTTACAGAATACAAAAGATCCATTGCAAACCTAATTATTAATTATATGCCAAACACTATGTTTAAAGTTTTCCATTGTTGGATATTTATTTTAAATCCAAGATAACTTACCCAAGAGGATGTGATTTTTTCTAAACCAATGTATTTTTTCTCAAGTTTAAAGCCGTGTTTCATAAGTTTTAAAAGAAAAAATCAGAAGGGGGGGGGTAAATTTTTGACTTCATTCAAAGTATCTGTGGTTTGCAGTTGCCCATGAATTTAATAAATAATTATACAAAGTAACAAGTTGAAATGAGTAAAATATTATGAATGTCCTGCTTGTTTTAGTTTCATTTCAGAATTTTTCAAGTTTGACCAAATATTGAAGAAGTAAAAGCCACAAGGTTTTGCAATTATTTGACATAGCATTACAAAATGCATTACAGTTTGTATATTTTTGCAACATCATAAAGATGCAAATTTAAGATGCCAAAAAATTTAGTTCACATTCACATTTAACTCATTACACAGGTTTTATAAAAGAGTAAATAGGAATATTGTTACGTTAAACACAGCCATTTTGGTTAAAAATCTGTTATTTCTGTCTCCATGGTAACAAATCTTGCATTCCTGTTTCCATAGTAATAGAAAATGGATAGGGAAAATTTTATTTCATATTAGTTTCAATCTACGGGGATAGTTTCAGGAAACTTGAAACATGCCCTGGTTAGTCTACATGTACTTCAAAATTGTCAATTTTACGGAAGGGGGGGGGGGGCATTTTGTGCAGGTGTTCACAGTTCTCCTATCTAGAAACATATTTACATGTATTAATGCTCTTGGAAATGGGATGTGAATATTTTTACATGACACTTTTCCTAGATATGGACTAATTTTACTGTAAATGACATCAAAACAGGTAGAAAGGAACATTTCTTTTCTATATGAACTTAATGAAATGTGCATATGTTCCTTGAAATACGGAAATTTTGCAGATTTTGGGTAATTTTTCATCAGCTTTTTTAAAAAAAATGTTTAAGTGTCCCATAAAAATTTAATGTGTTTAAACTAACTTATGTACCATCTATACAATGCACTGTTTCCTGAATTTCAAATCAGTGTGCAAAGTATTAAAAAATCGCTTTGAAAAAGGGTCTAAATGGTAATTTTCTCAATTTGGCAAAATGCCAAAATCCCCAAAGCTAAGCGTTGTTAAGCCATTATGTAGATTTACAGTTTTTAAAAAATTATGTTGTTATATTAGAGAGGAATAATGGTAGTTTTGAAACAAAAGTAGATTTTCCCATTCTCTTGTTTCTTTTAAGCTCATTTTTATTCAGTAAAACCTACAAAATCACGTTTTTTGGTCAAATTTTAGGAAGAATTTACAGGGGAAACAATAAGTGCCGTTACCATGGCAACGAGACATTTTTTGAAATAAAAAAATATAAAACCATTAATGATGTGACAATGTGAGTACACACAAAAAGTTTCATAGAAATTGAAAATGTAGCGTGGCCAAGCATTATTGATATTGTTTGATAATTACAGAGAATTGATATTAAGTATCTTTACGACCACTACTCCACTTTTCACTATCTTAGCTAGTAAACAGAGTGATTACTAATCATGAAGAATGCTTTACTAGGCATACTAGTTAAATCAACTAGGTATTTCTCTCAGTGTAAACTATTTTTTTTTGTTCATCATATTTTTTCCTGAATTAAATAACTACGTGTACATGTATCAATCTCCTTTAGGATGCCACACACGCCAATGCTGATACTAATCACACCTCTATGACTTTTGTGTGGAGACAAAGTGACGCCATGACAGGAGATGTTTATTTCAAGTAATGATTACCGGTATTACGTTATAATCAATAATAAAATAATGTTAGTTCTTTTTTAGCCAATAGTATATGGAGTATGCACATTTTTTTAGCAATTATCTATAGTGGTAAATAATTTAATCTGAGTTGATAAAAGTATGATAATAAATGATGCAAAATTATTTTTTATCCCCTCGCAACGATTTTTCTAAAGTCATGTTTACAAATGGAGTATGCTTTATTTCAGAGCTACTGTTGTGCACACTAAATCTACAAATTATAAAATAACAACTTCTCAGTCTCCGTTTGTACCAAACCCGGGAACCACACTCACACCTTCAGCCTCAACACAGACAACTGGAACAGTGGTATTTACATTAGAATTACTAGTTTTTTTCTCTTATAAATATTGTGCAATTTATTCTGGTAAACCTTTATTCTAACTATTAAAAGTGTTCAATATTCTTTTTCATTTATTTATTATTTCAATAGAACGATCAATGTTTTCAGTGTTTTCTTGCGGGCTATATTTTTTCTCATTAGACAATTGTTCTTGAAAACGATTCTTACTTGCAAGTTTTATCAAATTATTTTTTCACAGAGGAAAGCAGAAATTTTGATGTACATTTTGTTTTATCAGCGGGACATTGATGAGAAAATGTAAACAATATTTTTGACAAAATATATAATATTGATATTTTATAATTGATAATATACAATTGAATTTCAATTGTAATCAAAGATTTTTATTTTTAAACAAAATCTGTTTATTGAATTAGAGAACACTACGACTATAAAATATTGATACGACCAAAGACACAAGGTTTAGAGCATGGATTCTAAAACAAAAAAATTAACATGTTACTCTTATCCCAGAGTAAAATTTGCGAAGATTTATAGATTTTCATAATTTTGGTACAAAATCCATAGATCTAAATTCTTTTTATAAATTCTCTGTTATAGTTAAAGTTCAGTTCAACTTAGCAACTTTTGAATATGCAAAATATTACAATGCACAAATTTATGCCATGATTTCTTTGTATAGTTATCAGGCGCGGATCCAGAAATTTTTTCCAGGGGGGGGTCCACCCCAGTCAGAAAAAAAATCCAATCCCAGAAATTTCTTGACAAGCAAAAAAATAAAAAAAAAACCAAAACTCCTCGACCAAACGTAAAAAAACTATTTACCTATTTCGGGGGGGGGGGGGGGGGGGGTGACTTCTATTGCCTCAAATCTTTCACTTTTCATACCCATTTCATACATATTCGCGTTTACCAGGGGGGGTCAGCTTTTTCCAGGGGGGGTCCATAGTAACTTTTTTCTTGTTTTAGTATATACATTTTTTAACCTTGTAAATTCCAGGGGGGGGGGGGGGGGGGGGGGGGCCGGCCCCCCCCCCCCCGACCCTCCCCCCCCCTCTAGATCCGCGCATGAGTTATTACAATTCATGTTTTCAGTCCGCTATCGTTACAATACCCCTTTTATCCTTTGACTTCAGTCCACTGTCATTACAATACCCTACTAATTCCATGATTTCTGTCCGCAGTAAGTCTTACACAATTATTGCTTTTTTCGGCTCAATACGGTGATTTATACACCTGAGGAGTTTAACACTAGTATTCACTGAGCCCGAAGGGCGAAGTGAATATTTTACTTCGAAGGTGGCTAAATCATCGTTTTGACCTAAAAATAAAAAAAACAGCAATAACTGTTTTATTATATGATTAAATGATAGTAAATTTCTTCAATGCTGTTTTTGCTTTAATTGAAAGTTTTAATGAAAAATTTCAACAAGAGCACATTGTAACAGGGAAAGTGGAACAGGAATAATTGAATAATTTTGACCTGTAATAATTCCTTATATTGACCTGGATGGACACGTGATACTTTTAATTGACCTTCAATAATTCCTTATATTGAACTGGAAGGTCACGTGCAGGTCAATATAATGTAGTATTTTTGTAATATTGTTAAATCTCAGCAAATTAGATAGAGGGAAATTATTCAATCATATAATAAGCCCTTTAATTCCATGATTTCTGTCTGCTGTTGTTACAATACCCCTACCTATTCCATGATTTCTGTCCCTTCTGTTTCTACTTATTTTGTGATTCCTGTCCGCTGTCGTTACAATACCCCTACTTATTCTTTGATTTCAGTCCACTGCTCCTCAGTCTGGCATTTCCCCAGATCCAGAGTGTGGAAGTACTAAAGGTTGCCAGTTAAGCTGCAATGGCGGGGCGTGCTCTTACCTTATCACGTGGCAAAAGCGAGGCGATTTAGTGAGATTCGAATTAATGATCATGTCTTCTGGAAATAGTTATCAAGCTATTGGATTTTCGAGTGACGAAAAAATGGTTAGTAGTCCAAAATCTACAATGTATATTAATAAAAATAAAATTTATTATTTTATTAATAAAATAACGAAATATGTAATATTTCATTCCATACTATTTGTCTTAATTTATCAATTATTTAGCCCGTAGTTTCAGTTTAAGGTGTTATAATTCAAATACATTTGTTTAGGGTGGTGATAGCGTGATGGTGTGTAAATCTAACGGTGGAATAGTGACGTTTGAATTAGGGCGTACCGTTGGGACAAGTTACACCGCCTTACCAAGTGTTTGTATTGAACATTCTCATAAATTTTATTGCTATATTTTAAATGTAATAATTCTCACACGATTTTGTAGGTTTGGTATTTTCATATATTTTGATAAGGACAACTTTAGAAGAGTTAAGCATTTGACTGACTAATTAGACCATGAAACTATAAGAAAGTAATGCTAGTAAAATTTTTAATTGCAAAGACTGAAAGTGTGAGAAAGATAGAGAAATTCCTACCTAGTAAAAGCTTCATCTTTTGTAATCTAGACTCATGTAAATGGTTGTTTTGTTAGAATTAAAATGTTCCCAAGAAATCCAAATTTTCGAGGCATTTTAAGACCATCCTCGCAATGCCCTGGCAACGTGTAGACTCAGGACCCCTGGCATTGCAAGGATTCTATAAGATAGATTACAATTTTGCAAATTTGATGAAAATATAAAATCGACAAATTAAATCTTACTTTTGTAAATAACAGTTGACAGGGACGGGTGTCGATGTCTTGGAATCCTCGCAGACAGATGGGAGGGTGAGGTGTGTCGTGGAGCGGACCATTAACAGTACTAACCCCTATGTGTTTAGTCTAACGCGCAGTTGGCACTTGTTGAGAGCCATAGGACCTCTGGCAGGTGAGAACATTGTACAGTCTGAAGAAATGAGGAATAGGTAAGAAATATTGAACAATACATAGATCCAACCTTGCGATACCTCATAAGACAATAAAAAAAATTAATTTAAGAGGGCTTGGTTATTATGCTCATGGAAAAATAAACCCCCTAGAAAAGACGAGCTCCATATGAAAAAAAATTAGAAATTGCAATATGCTTTTACATCATAGCTTCTACAAACATTTCCTTTTTTCTTTCTTGGAAAATACTTGTTTTAAAGATTGTGTAATGACTACAAAAATATTGTGTATTATATTTTTGGATGGATCTGTTTGACGTTGATTTGATAATCACACATCCTTCTGAAACATGGAATTTATCATAATTGCATCATAGGTGGTGGCGCTGCAAGTTACCACAGTACAAGGACCGCTAGTAGTTCCCAGGTAGACTTCCTCTCGGCTTCTCTTGTCGCAGAAGAACAACCGGATAATATTATGGTCAAAATACATGGTACTCAAGATTTCTTGCTGAATAATTCTCTGCTTTGCTCTTTATTTTTATTATTCGTCTGTATATCTTACCATAACCGAATCCTTTCTATTTACACTCCCTCAGGATCTTTCATGATGATTGCCTGGGTGATGTTCTCCAGTATTGGAATTGTAACAGCGAGGTTCTTTAAGGACGGATGGGAAGGAAAAACTCTTATAGGGCAAAAAGTCTGGTTCCAGGTGAGATAGCATGCATCTCAAGTCAACAAAACAACAATGGCATGTCGATTTCCTTCTTCCTATTTCTTTATGCTTACTAGTACCTCAAAATATTGTCTTGATCTAGATTCACCGTACGTGTATGGTTTCGGTGTTCCTCTTCACGGTGGCAGCTTTCGTGGTAATATTTGTGGATGTTGGAGAATATAGAGAGGTACGTATCACAACATTCAGATTTACTTGATTTTACGTTCATGTTTACTTATTACCGATACATTATAATAGGCCTCGCTTTTGTTGGTTTGTCGTTACAAATCATTGCCTGATAAGTTGTTATTGGTATTCAGGTTGTAGTAGCGGATGACAGAGACTACCTTCAGTATCATCCAATACTGGGCATCATAGTAACCAGTCTTACAGTCATCAATGTAAGTTACTCAGATACTCAACACTTCTAGGATCTTTGATCAATTGTTTCCTGATAGAAAACATATACTAATAGGTATTGCACATTATTTATGTTATATTTAAAGTATGGTGTTCATTTCAGCCAATCATGTCGCTCTTTCGATGTGCGCCGACTGATAAAAAACGACCCTTATTCAATGTTGCTCACTTTCTTGTCGGAACTGGTGCGCATATTCTAGCAGGTACTTGAATTTTGATAGAAAAGCATCATGCATGGAATTGATTTTGATTGATAATCCTTTTTCTTCGTTGTAGGCCGAAACGCTTTAGGTACTAGCTATACCTAATTGTACAAATGCTAAAACATTATCATTATACCTATTATTGTGATATTTCATTTCAGCCATCACAGTTTTATTTGGAATGAACATAGACAGATCCAATCTTCCGATGGAGGCTTCGTACGTCATGTATGCTTATATGGCGGTTTTTGTTGCCATACAGATAGCCTTTGAACTCCACAGAGCCTGTCAAAAAGGTCTCAATTCTAGTAAGTACACGTTTAATGTGCAAAGCTCGTTTTTGTGAAAATCTACAGGCAGAAAGTGCAAGCGATTAACGTGCTTTCGTTTTATAAGGCACACATTTGCGTACATATGTAAGACTCCAAGGTCCGATGGTGACGCCAAAGTCCGATGGTCTCGCCAAACCCCGATGGTCTGCGCCAAACCCCGATGGTTTGCTATCGTTACGGACGCCAAAGTCCGATGGTCACGCCAAAGTCCGATGGCTCGTTTCCTATGACACGCGCGACGCTAAAGTGCGATGGTCTGACACGCCAAGGTCCGATGGTGTGGAGGAACAAACAACGTTTATGACGTCACAATAATCCGACGTCAATCCTTGACGCCGTTGTCCCGCATTCAAAAGCCATTATTTCATAATTCGTTATCGAATACAATTTTATTGGTTTTTGCTTATTGCTTGCACCTTCCAGATACATTAGGATTAGCCCTCGCACACCAATCGGTTGATTAGGGTTAGTCCTTGCATTGTACAACCCAATAGATTTAGGGTTAGTCCTCGCACACTAGTCGAGTGATAAGGATTAGTCTCGCACCCACCAAAGATACCTAGTTTATAGTTGATGCACACTTTTCGGGCGTTTAGGGTTAGTCTCGCACCTACCTGAGAGATAAGGGTTAGTTTTCGCATTTAATAATTTTTTATTTATATTTGTTTTTAAGGTAGAACCTATGTCGGAGAAGTCTTTGTCACAAGATTTTCAAACTTTTCATAATGATAAATTAGCACTTGCTTATCAATCAGTAAAAAGCACATGACATGTTTCCTTGTTATTAAATGTGGTGCAGCCAGTTAAACATGGAATGATAAATACATATGTAGCCAGTGGTAGAACATCAGAACTAACAATCTGGTTCAGGTTCAATATTATATTTATTAATGTTGAAATAAGACGTCAAAAACCTGAAATATTACAATTACACACAACATATAGACGACACATAGACAGACATTTAGACAGATAATTAAAACATAATAGACTTTACTTTAGAATAGATTCTTACCGGGACACACACAGGAATTACAAATATTACTATCTGTTATTGACTATAGAGTAGAGTACACATCTAACCAATTCAACGGCTAGGCTCAGAGTGCCCGATGTTAGTGCGTGAAAGCGGGAATTTGGTGAATAGGATAAAGTCATGTGACTGTCCGTCTAGTGTCAAAAAATAACAACAACCTCATTCACACAAAGTTTTTCACACCACATTCTCACATATACGCAGCGCTAGTATAGTAATTAAAGGCATTAAATAATACATAACCCTGGTTACATACTCCCCCTCTTCGTTGAAATGGCTCCTGACATTTCCAAAGAAGTATGTACAATTATAGTAACCATGAAATATAAATAAAAACCAATTTACCTGATACAACTCACCACAATGAAATCAAGTAATTAAATTAAAACCTCATCAATGACCATCAAACTTCAAACATCAACAAGACACATAATATACAAATGTACCAATCAATGTAGGAATACCTGACCAATGAATTCCTCCATACTCCATATGACACACAAGTCATGAAACTATTTACACATACCTCAATACACCTCATTAAAGTTTTACAACTTTTAAGAGCTAATCCCATAAACACTAGACACAAATTATTATATACAATGAGTTTAAGGATTAGGGGAATAATGAATATGGTCATTATTATAATATTTTTTTTTTTTTAATTTTTATTTTAATTTATTAAAATCCCGGGTAAACTGCATCATAAAAACATTTCGGCATAAAAGCAGTTTTCAGCATAAAAATCGGTTCTCGGCATAAAGCAATATCATAAAAAACCGTTTACATTATCCATTCCCCATACCGATCTGGGAATTTTTTCATTCTGGTCGACCGTCTCGGCAAAATCGGTAAAGGCGACTGTGATTGGTCTGAAATAAACTGACTGTGTGGACCGCTCACAGAAGCTCTGGTACTACTGCTGTCTGACTCACTGGTGTAACCTGACTGTCTGGGAGAACTCACACTCTGAAAGGAAGGACTTGAATTCTGAAATGAAGAAATATTTTGATTAGTACCATCTGATACACTAGAAACTTTAGATCTTGATACACTGTGTTGATCTGATGATTCTTTGCTGAACTCATCTCTATTTCTGGGTATCCTTGATTTCACTTCAATTGTTACTTCATCATCCGAACTCTCAGAATCGGACTCCGGAAGTTCATCAGAATTCTTAGGCTTCTTGTTCCTCCTTGTCACAGGTGTCCTATAAACAACAGGTTCATCAATGTCACATGCTGGTATCTGGTTAAATGGTAGCAGCATATTTCTGTGCAGTGTCTTTGTGGCTCGTCCTGATGTACTCTTCACTCTGAAAACAGGGATCTCGGGATTGGGAATTTCTGTGATAACATAAACTTCTGAATCCCATCTGTCTGCTAGTTTATTCTTTCCCTTTAATCCTACTTTCCGCACAAGGACTCTGTCTCCAATCTCCAGCTTACAGAACCTCACTCTCTGGTCATACTTATTCTTGTTCTTGTCAGATATTCTCCTAGCTTCTTGAGAGGCATGTCTATATGCTGACACCATCCTGTCCTTAAGTTTCTCAACATAACCATGGTGATCTCCTTTCTCGTGTTCCAAGTCCATACCAAAGAATACATCTATGGGAAGCTTAGGATGCCAACCGAACATCAGGTAGTGTGGAGTGTATCCCGTTGCATCATTTCTGGTCGCATTGTAGGCTTGAACAAGTGGAGCAACATGGGATTTCCAGTCTGACTTCTGCTTCTCGTTGAGTGTTGAGAGCATCTTGATGAGTGTTTGGTTGAATCGCTCAGCTGAGCCATTTCCCATCGGGTGGTACGGCGTAGTCCTTGTTTTCTTTATTCCTAGGAGTTTGCAGAGTTCTTGGATTACTTTCGACTCAAAGTTACGTCCTTGGTCACTGTGTAATTTCTCAGGAAAGCTGTAATGTAGAAAGAAGTTATCAAATAAAGCTTTAGCTGTAGTATGAGCAGTTTGATTTTTACATGGAATGGCTTGAGCGAATCTGGTAAAGTGATCCGTTATGACTAAAATACTCTCGAAGCCTCCTTTGGATTGTTCTAAACTCAGAAAATCTATGCAAACTAACTCCATGGGTCTTGTTGTCACAATCGGTATAAGTTCTGCTGCAGGTCTCACAGGTGTTTTACTACATATGCATCTATTACAGGTCTCTATCTTCCTAGTGATGTCGTTCTCCATGCCTGGCCAATAAAATCTCTGTCTGGCTAACCAAAGGGTTTTATCTTTTCCTGGGTGTCCGACATCATCATGTATTCCCTGTAATGCAACTGATCGAAAACTCTCTGGGACTACTAACTGATAAGATCTCTTACCATCCTGGAAAGCGGTTTTACAAAGAACTCCATCTACCACTTGCAGCTTCTTCAAAATTCTCATGTACCTCTGAACATCTGGAGATTCTTTCCGTATATTTCCTCCCCTAGGTCGGAAATCGCTTTTCAGGATCTGTAGAACTCTGTTGATGGCTTCATCTCTGGACTGTTCTTCTATCCAGTCATGACTGCTGAGTGTGTCGCTGGGGAAAATCTCCTCATCCGCGGCTTGAGGGGCATCTTCCTTGGAAACACTCTGGCAACATGGTATCTGTACTGAAGCAGCATTACAAAGAGCCTTAACCGTGTCCTTAAAAACAACTGGTTTCCTGGATAGACCATCAGCATCTGCATTTAAGTTTCCACTTCTGTATGAAATCTGGAAGTTATAATTAGTAAGACTGGCTACCCATCTCTGGCTTGTTGCATCAAGCTTGGCCTTGGTGAATATGTAAGTTAGCGGATTGTTGTCTGTGATTACCTCAAACTGATTCCCATACAGGTAGTCATGTAGCTTATCACATACCGCCCACTTAAGCGCCAAGAACTCGAGCTTGTGTGCAGCGTAGTTCTTCTCACTGGGTCTCAGTCCTCTACTTGCGTACGCAATCACCCTCTTTTGACCTCCTTGCACTTGATACAGGATTGCTCCCAGGCCTTTGGAACTGGCATCCGTATGTAGTATAAAAGGCTTGTTGTATTCTGCATACCCTAAGACAGGTGGTGTTGTCAATTTTTCCTTGATGTCCCGGAAAGCCTTTTCCTCCGTTTCTGTCCAAATCCATGGTACTGGTTTCTTCTTGGAGTTTGGTTTACTGAGTGCCTTCTGCTTCTTACTAGTTTTGGTCTCATGGCCTTTCAATAAGTTGTTCAATGGAGCAATGATACTGGCAAAGTTCTTCACAAATCGCCGGTAGTAGCCAATGAACCCTAAAAACTGTCTCAGCTCCTTAACATTGGTAGGTGTTGGCCATTCCGCAACAGCAGCAACTTTTTCTGGGTCCGTGGAAATTCCTGACTCTGAAATAATATGACCTAGATATGTAACAGACTGTTTGAAAAATTCACATTTTGAAGGTTTAAGTTTTAAGCCATGTTCTTCTAATCTCTGAAACACTCTTTCTAAACGTTTACAATGTTCCTCGAAAGTTTTGGAAAAAATCAAAATATCGTCAAGAAAAATCAAACACTCTTTGAGATGAATTTCACCCATGCATTTCTCCATAAGTCTTTGAAACGTTGCTGGAGCATTTGTCAAGCCAAAACACATTCTATTACATTCGTAAAATCCAAAGTTACCTACTGAGAAAGCTGTTTTGTGTTTGTCCTGTTCCTCTATCTCCACCTGCCAGTATCCTGACCGCAAGTCTAATTTACTGAAGTACTTGGCACCACTCAGTGTATCAATGACATCGTCAAAGCGTGGTAGCATGTAACAGTCTTTACGAGTCTTTGAATTCAAAACACGCATATCGATACAAAAGCGAAGAGAACCGTCTGTTTTTCTAACTAAGACAACATTAGAACTATAGTTACTGTGGGATTCTCTTATCACACCTGCCTCTAGCATTTCTTTGATATGCTGTCTCACTTCATCATACATACCAGGA